AAAGAAACCATGTTCACACTTATTTTGTTTAATCCCAGAAAGTGAGCAGTAGCCTTACAGTGGGGTCGTAGATAAAATCCCAGTGAGCCTGTACCTTTATTTCCACTGAAGTTCAGGCTGATTTCTGGCTGTGAGGCTAGAACCAGACCCGTTTAGCCTGCAGCAATCCATGTATATACTGTGGGTTTGACCTCAGCCTGGAGTCACTTAGATGGAGCCAGGAGTTGCTCTGAGATTGGAGCTCAGTTGGCCCCTTCTCCAAGATGGCGCTCAGCCCATCATCCTCTTCTGTGAGACATCTGAACCCAGTAACTCACCAGCGCTACAGTCTGTGCTTCTACTGCTCTGTTCCATGGAGTGTTTCTCCCTGAGCATCTCTGGGGTTACGTGTAGCCACCATGCATCTGCAGGTTCAAGCAGCCACTGCCATGCAGTGAGCCGGGCTCAGGGAGAAAGCACCACCATGTCCTTCGTTGAAGTTTCTCTCTTTGCTCTCCTCATGGGCATCAATTCTCACTTCAGATCTTTCTTGGGTCCTAGAGATACAGTTCCCTCCTTCCCTTTCTCACATTGCTGTAGTCCAATGTCTGGGCACAAATCTTAGACAGGCTCTTTCTCTGCTGTTCACCACTCCAATATTTTCCCAGAAGTCCCTAGACCCATTATCTTTTTCTATGCACTAAATTGAAAATGGAACAATCTAAAGATCCAAGTTTCTCACTTCATAGTTGTTTGGCTTTGTAAGTTGCAGAGCCTGTGGTGAGGCAACACCTCATGGCAGGGAGCACACGTGGGAGAACAAAGCTGCTCGCTTCACAGTGGTCAGGAAGCAAAGAGAGAGGTTAGCATCCCAGCATCTCCCCTCATGCCACCCAAGACCTCACCAGGCCCCAGGCTCTAATGGCTCTGCTGCCTCCCAATAACGCCTCAGGCTGAGGTCTAAGCTTTCAACACATGGGAGACATTAAGGATTCAAACTCTAGCAAACGTGTCTCCACAAAGTGCAAGTGTTGGCATTGGGACCTGAGGGGAAAGCATTAGGATTAGATGGGGCCATGAGGGTGCAGTCCCCATGCTGGCAGTAGCAGTTCTATAAGAAAAGGAAGAGAGGCCCCAGCTGGCACACTTGCTTTGTCTCTCCAAGCCCCCTACTGTGTTCCAGATGTGAAGCAGATGCTGAAGCCATGCTCTTGGACTCCCTAGTCTCCAAAAGTGTGAGCTAAATAAATCTCTGGAAAAAAAAAAAAATCTCTGGGGTTTTTTTGTTTTTGTTTGGTTGTTTTTTTTTTTGCTCCGAATGCCTTCACGGCAGGTTTAGCTGGCTTGGGTTGTGGGGATCAAACCACAGCAACCTGAGCCTGACAGCTTTGTGGAAGCAGTCACTTAAAGAACTGAGCTAAGGGGCAGGCCCCCAAATCTCTGTTCTTTATAAATTAAAAGATAAATAAATAAATAAATAAATAAAGATCTAAGTTTGCCAGAAGACAGAATAGGTAGAACTCTGGAAGATATTGGTGTAGGCAAAAGACTTCATGAACAAAATTCCAAATAACAAGAAATATCATAAAGAATGGGGAGTGGAGGAAAGAGGGAAGGAGAGAGCAAAGAGAGGATGGGAGGGAAAGAGAGGGAGAGAGACAGGGAGATACAAAAGGACATGTGGGGGAGAGGAGGGAGGGAGAGGGAAAGAATGCCTTTAAAATGGTTTTGCGGGGCAGCTAGATAGCTCAGCAGGCCAAAGCACCTACTTAGGCAGAGCACAGCAGCCACCGTTCAATCCCTGGTGAGCTGTGGTGGCCCCAAGCCAGAGGCACACTGAGACTGGGTGTGGTGGCACATGCCTGTACTTCCAGCCCTTAGGAGGCTGAAAACAAGAGAATCATGAGTCCAATCTATGCAGTGAGACCCTACAGACCCTGTATTAAATACATAAAAAATTAAAAATAAAAATGGTTTTTGTTTTGTTTTTACAAAGAATGGCTGTATTTTAATATTTTTTTATTTTTATTTTTATTTTTTAAAGATAGAACAGGCAACCCCTACACACAGAAAATCCTACACACAGAAAATACAGTCTTCCCCAGGGGAATTTGTTATAGGCTTAAGGGCCAACCTGTCTACATAAAGATCTCAGAACACAAACCACTGTGCCCACTGTGAGGACATATGCTTGTCTATGAGGTTCTAGAATCCCCAGAAGCTCTATCTGATGCAGCAGTTGGCAGTCTTCACAGCTCTTGGGTGTCCCACATAAAGATCTCTCTTTTTCTAAATCCCAATGAACACGTTCATCTTACTAATGAGTCTTTACCTGCTTGGATCTGTCAAAGGTGAGTCTTCTGTCTAGGCTCCAGATAGATGCATAAAGGGCCTCCTTTTAGGTGCTTCTGCCCTTGAAGAAGGAAGCCATTCAGTTACCCAAACCAATCTGACTCAGAATCAGGAGTAACTGAATAAGACAACAGACAGGGTTCCCAAACCACCTGATTTCGTCTAGAGATGGCTTTATAGTCTGTCAGGCCCACTGGCCTGGCACTTTCCTACTCTTAGTTCTTTCAGCCACTCAACATTTGTACCTGATGTCCTATGAGATGTGAGAACAGGCCTTGATTCAGTGCTGGTCCAATGAGGATTTGTTACTACTGACTGAGTATAAGAGAACCTTAGCAGTTAGTGTGCTAGGACAAGATACAAAGAAATGGGCTAAGAAAAATAACACAATAGGTGTATGGACCAGAGATCTTGTATCTCCTTTATGGCTGTGTTTAACCATCCAATTTTCTGTATGGGAATCATGAAACACTCTAGTCCCTCCTGCCTACTATAAGATGAGCTAAACTGTCAATGAAATGACAAATTTTTGAAAACGTTGACTTTCAGAGATTTTTGTTTTGTTACTTTCAAACATTTGAGCTGAGCTTGGTGGCACCTGTAACCCCAGCACCTCAGAGGGATCCACCTAGCAGGATGGTCACCACAAATTCAAAACCAGTGTGAACTACATAGTGAATTCAAGTCTAGCCTGAACTACATAGCAAGATGCTGTCTCAAAAACAAAATAAAACAAAACGCAAATCTAAAATCACTGGACACAAATGTAGCTACACAACCACTAGATGGTAGTATGTGCCAGTCACATAACAGTAAAACAAGATCGTAAGACATAAGAGTGACTAAGATATCAGCATGCTTATTCAAACCTGTTTTCTATTCTATATCAGAAATATTTATTAAAAACTGCTTTATCCCCTGCATGCCATGCCGGCCCTGCTCATGGGGCATCCTGAGATGGCTATTAAGACTGGGCGTGGTAGCACGCACCTGTAATCCCAGCACTTGGGAGGCTGAAAACAGGAGAATCACTACGAGTCTGATCTACATAGTGAGACCCTGTACACCTTGTCCGAAATACAGGAAAAAAAAAAGAAAAATTGTTTTAACTCCTGAAGAATCAATCAAGCACATACGTTTTAAAAATAAAAACCTTATCAAATTTTTGTTTTGTGAACATACCATCATTCTTATCTTTTTTATTTTTGGCTTTTTGAGACAAGGTCTAAGATATCCAGGCTGTCATCAAACTTTCAATCCTCTTTCCTCAGCCTCCTAAGTGCTGTGATTACAGGCATGTACCACCACTTAGAAAATCTAAAAAAAAAAAAAAGAAAATCTAGCAACTAGGTTTTCAGAAAGTAACTGACTATATATCTATTATAGGATTCTTTCAAAGCTAGAGTACCCAGAAGCCTTATAACTACCTCAGCTGAATGATCTTGTAATGTCCATTTTTAGCTAGACTTTATAACTCAGTCCTTATAGTCTTCTTGCCTTGCTTGTAGGCTACTCAGTATAATCAAAGAGAGTTAATTACTAAACAGTCTGTTTTGTTTTTTCAATTAAAATGAAAGACACTTAAGGAACAGGACCTGAGTTAAAGGTAGAGGAAGTTAGTCAGAAAAGAATGGCCCTCTTAGTTTTGCAAATGCCAGTGTAAGGTGGACAGAAGAGAAACCTAAGATTGAGCATCTAGGCAACAAGACAATGCACTTCAGAATTTATATTACTGAATACACAACTCAAAAGTGTAAATGGTATGTCACTGGGAATCTCCATTCAGACATATGTAAAGATAAGCTAAGAATTCGTTGTTATTTTTCTAACAGGAAAAAGCTTTACTTAGAAAGTAAGAGAAAACACTAAGAGGCAAACATGAGGTCCTGAGTTTGATTCCCAGTACCAAAAAACACAAAAAAATTTTTAAAAGATAAAATAGTAAGAGACTTTAATTTGAGGAGTACGACAAAGATCAGGCCAGCTCTTGACAAGGAAACTACAAAAAATAGAAAAGGATACCAGCTTGAGTAGCTTAAGAAGGGGTATGCTCTGATGAAGGGGATCAGACTGGCCCCAGTATTCTTAAATCTAGTAATTTACAGTAATTCTGCCATCTGAATCCCCAACCGATGTGGATTAAGGAATGTGAGAAAGAACCTGACCTTACCAAAACAGGGCCTTAATCCTTTCTGGTAATTTTCATGGGCTCACGGTCATCCTGTGGGTCATCCTCTAGTTTGTTTCTCTCCAAAGGTTAAACTTTTCTATCCTCGGTTAGGTGCACATCTATAATCCCAGCACTCTGGGAGGAGAAGGCAAAAGGATTGTGAGTTTGAGCCCTGTCTGGGCAACTTATCAAATCCCCTGTCTCAAAATTTTAAAATAAATGGCTGGGGATGCAGCTTCATGTGAAGGCCCTGGGTTCAATCCCCAATACTGCTAAATACATACGTACATAGCTTAAACAATTACTTATTTAAAATAAAAACTGTCCACCCTCAACTTAGGTTGCAATTACTCACTACTGGAAACTATTTGCTTGTGCTCTCTTTCTTTTCTCTCCATCCTTCTTGACTTTATCAAAGGACTGGTGAGTGGGCTCATGGCAGACTCTTGATGACAATGGGATTTCTAATTGTTGGCTTTGTCAAAGAGGTACATTGATTTCCCTTCAGATACTTTTGGTATATGAATGTATCTCCCTGTATAGTTAAAATATCGCCCTGTATTTAAAATTCTTCCCTTCAATCCCAGAAGTGAACTGTATCTTTCACTAAACAGCTCTAGCCTCCATGGTCTCTTGGAGTAATTGACTTCCTCCAATATGTGCACTACCATCAAGTACCTGTTCTAGACCCACAGGAAACCTGGGGAGGGGGTCCCCATTTGTCTCACTCTGTAGTAGTCTTTGCCCCATTCTCTCATCTTTATTATCTCTTGTTTTTCTTCTCCATGCCAGGAGCATCAGGTCAGCCTGATGCACCTTTTGCCTCCATGGATCATCAAGGTTCAATTCAGCAACTTTCAGATGAGTACCTTTCACCTGTAAACCCTTCAGATGTTGAAGCTTTATATGAGACCTCTTCAGGGAAGAATGTTTTGACTGAGCATAGTTCCAGTGAGCACAGTTCAAGGGAGCATGCTGCAGATGAGCATAGTGCTGATGAACACACTGTGGGTAAACATGCTGCAAATGAACACACTTCGAACGAACATGCCACAGGTGAAGAGACTTCAGGTGAACATGCCTCAGGGGAAGAGACTTCAGGTGAACACGACTCAGGTGGAGAAACTTCAGGTGAACACGCCTCAGAGGAAGAGACTTCAGGTGAACAGGCTTCAAGTGATGAGACTTCAGGAGAACATGCCTCAGGCAAAGAGACTTCAGATGAACACGACTCAGGTGCAGAAACTTCAGGTGAGCACACCTCAGAGGAAGAGACTTCAGGTGAACATGCTTCAAGTGATGAGACTTCAGAAGAACACACATCAGGTGAAGACACTTCAGGCGAACACGTGTCAGGTGAAGAGAATTCTAGTGAACACACCTCAGGTGAAGAGACTTCAGGTGAAGAGACTTCAGGTGAACATGCCTCAGGTGAAGAGACTTCAGGCGAAAAGCCTTCTGGTGAAAAGGCTGCAGGTGAACAGGCTCTAGATGAACATGCTTCCAACGAACAGCCTTCAAGCACACCACTTCCAAATATATCCTCAGGTGAGCCACACTGGTTTCATGTGAGAAGTGGGAAACACCTCAGGAAAACCCAATTTTAGGGAAAGAGTAGGAAGACTCATTAACACTTTAGAAATAACTATCCCAAAGACTCTCTAGGCCTCTTCATAATAATACAAAGAATTATGTTCTACCTTTTATGGGGCCTATATGCTATATAATTTGGACAATGCAGGTGTAAGAAAATAACACAAACACAAAATGCCACTAGCTCCTCCAATTTCATGAACTATAAGAAATTACGAGTACAAAAGCTCACAGCTCCCCTGGCAGAGTTCATAGGAAGTACAGAATTCTCAAGGCTAACATGAAATACAATTCATGCAGTGCTTCCCCAGGATAGCTGCACTTCTGTGGCTCTTAAAAACAGTGGTTTAAGCAAGAGAACTAGTATTCAAAGTTTGAAGTCTCAAGTGACTATCAGCAATATTTAATACTTCATACTTCACCCCACTGCTTAAGAATTATTATTCTTCAGATGAGATAAAAATTGGCCAAAAGTAATATACCCAATGTCAATCACATGGCTAGAAAGTAGGAAAACCTTGGATTGAAACTTAGATCATATTCTCCCCTGACCCACTCCTTTGTGCTTCCTGAACCAGGGGATTAACAGAAATAATGTAAGTGGTAACATGGATATTTAAAGAAAATGCTATCAACAAATAAAATGCTTTATTGAATTGACCTTCAATAAAGTCAATTCGAAAATGGAGAATGATTCCATTTGCAAAGTAAAGCATTTTAATAAAGCTTAGGTATCAGCCAATTTGACTCCAAATGCTTGCTCTCTGTGGGTTGAGAGTATGGCAGAGTAGTAAAGGCAGCCAGGCACGTGACACTTTGTTCCTATGGAATGAGATATACAGAACAGCAACTAATTACAAGTGTCAAGGGAACAATGAAGAATCGCCAGGCTTTACTGTCCCTCATTCCACCCAGATGTCTCACTCACATATGCACGCCTGGCCCATAAAGGAATTTTATCAGTCTCATCTTAAATTTGCAGGCAAAATACTAAATTGCCACACATGCGCTTACATGAATGATCAAGGAAAATGTCTTCGTGGAGAGGGAACGTGCACCACTGAGAATTCCCAGCAGTGCATGTTGAAGAAGATCTTCGAAGGTATGACAATGACAGTGCATCAGGCAATTTAAGTACTAATAGGGGGCAGCTGAGGGGACAGAGGCTAAGAGGAAGGATCAAAAAAACTGGGTAAGAAAAATAACTTCCTTCCAAGGCTTCAGAGTGGAATCCCAGATACTAATCAGCAGGGTACAGGCCTTTCCCAACAGACCTAAAACTTGATAGAAAAGGAGGCAGGGATATGGCTGTCTCTTCCTAGTAAAGAGATGGTGAGTTGTTCCTTAAGCCACTAAGACATAGAGTAAACTCAACCCAAGGTCTATTTTATTCATGGCTACATATTCTCAGGCCTAGTACAATGTTCAGATATGGTAGGACAGATATTCAGTAAGTACTAAATAAATAAATGACTATAAATCTATTCACAGGTTGCCAAACCAGTCTATGTGCTCCTGCATCTCTCTGCCCTCTCTGCCTTGCTCCCCAAAATAAAGAAACTTCATTACTTCCATCCCATGAATTCTGGTTTGTTTGGTCCCTCACTAGAAACACCATTATCCTATTTGTACATGTGTACATGCATCCTCCATTCCACCATCACTCAACAAACTAAAGACACATACTACCAAATATGGACTGTGTACTTGGGAGGCTGAGGCAGAAGGATCACCATGAATTAAAGGCCAGTCTGGGCTACATGAGTTCAAGGCCAGCCTGAACTGCAGTGAGACCTTGTCTGTTTGTGTGTGTCTCTGTCTGTGTCTCACTGATCCTCCTGTCTCAGCCTCCCCAGTGCTGTACCAAATAAATTAAGAAAAATGTAGGAATTCTGAGAAAGGGAGTAACTTGAAAAAGTTAACACAAATAATATTTCTTTAACTCCCACTCATATATCAGATACTGAGACACACTTTAAAGTACGTTTTCTCATCTAATTTTCACAAAGAGGATTTTTCCTTGTTAACGGAAAGGGAACTGAAAGTGCAATAGCTCCGAGGGCTTGACCTGAGGATCTGGGTGGTGTTAATCTTAATATCCTCTGGTGCTAGCTTAGTTCCCCGCACACAGTAAAGGTCCCTTGAATGTTTGATGAATGGCAATGACAGTATAAAAACGTGTTGCAAGAGCAGAACTGATGGGCCTTTGTGACTGATTAGAAAGGGCAAAGGGAGAAATGAGAGATCACAGAGGTTCTGAGAGTTGACATGGAAACTGTATAAGGGATATGTTCAGAAAGCAAGTCCCAAGTGAGGAGGATGGAAATGAACTTCAATTGGGGAAGAGTAAATTTTAGATTTCCTCAATATACCTCAATGGAGGTGACATCGGTTTGCTTGAATTGTGAGAATTCTACATGGGAAAGCAGAGATAAATAGAACCAGGGGAGCAGTAGGGAAGGCTGTCCAGAGAGAACAGCATCAAGAAGTAAAAAGGGGCTGAGCACTTGGGAGGCCGAGATAGGAAGAGCACTGTGAGTTTAAGGCTGCCCCTGGCTACACAGTGGGTTCATGGCCAGTCTAGACTACATAGTGAGACCCTGTCTCAAAAAGAAAGGGAAAGATGGAGGGAGGGAAGGAGGGAGGGAGGGAGGGAAGGAGGGAGGGAGGGAAGAGAAAGTCCTGAGGATTACATCCTCACAGAGATTGGGGTCCTAGGAAAAAGCTGCAGAATCTGAAGAGCAGAACCCTTTGAGAGGGGAACTTCAGTAGACTCATGGTCTGGAGTGTCTCAGGCAGAAGGAAGGTCAAGTGAGGACAGCCAGCTCTCCAGAGAAGTGTGTGGGGTAAGGACAGTAGCAGGAGAGTGATAGAAGAGAAACTATTTTCAACTTTGGGAGAACTTGAGCATACTTATAATAAAGCTAAAAAAAAAAAAAAAAAAAGCCAGTAGAGAGGAAAACTGAAGCAGTAAGAGAGACATGGTCAACTGATGGGATGAAAGTCCCAGAGACAGACAGCAAGGAAGAGAGAGCAGAATGTGTACATGGAGGTCTTAGCCCTCCCTGCCTGGGGACACTGGGGACCATGGATAAAGATAAGAGAGGCAAGCCTTCTGCTAACTCCAACATGTCCTTCCTCTTTCAGGTGGAAAGCTCCAATTCATGGTTCAGGGGTGTGAGAACAAGTGCCCCTCTATGAACCTCATTTCCCATGGCACAAGGATGCAAATCATATGCTGCCGAAATACACCTTTCTGCAACAAGGTCTAGAAGACTGACTGACCCAGGCAGAAGGCCCCCTCCGTGCTACTTGATTCAATTTATACCAAGCTTCAACAACTAAGAATACTGGCCTCTGCCTGAATGTTAGATGAGATGCTCAAATAGATTCCTCTCCTATTCATGGCCCTACCCAATTTTCTCTACCTGTCTCCCTTACCCCCAACCTTGACATTCCAGATTTCCTTTTTTAAAATAAATGTCTCACGGCTAAAGAACAAATATTACAGACAGATTTCTTTTCCATCCATCTAGATGCAGGGTCAGCTAGGGCTTTTTTCCAACCTCCACTGAATTGGATGTTTTATGTGTAGTACTTGGAATTGAACCCAGCACCTCAAACATGCTGAGCAAACACTGTACAAGCCAGCTATGATCCTCTGTGTAGAATCCTGAGAAACAAGTCATTTAAAATAAATGAACTGCGGAACCAGGGATTGAATTTAGGCCCTTGCGCTTGCCAGGGAAGCGCTTATTCCACTGAGCCATCTCCCTGGCCCCGCCTTAATACTTTTTTATTTTGTTTTATTTTGAATGGTCAGCCATCATGGCACCCCTTTTGTCCCCCAACTTGATGTATGAAGGCTTTTGGTCTCCCTGGGAGTGAGTTGAGGTGTGGAGGCAGCCAGGGCTTACCTGTACACTGACTTGAGACCAGTTCAATAAAAGTGCACATCTTAAAAAAAAAAATAAATAAAATAAAATAAAATAAATGAACTAAGGAATACAAAAGAAAGAAAAGTAAAGACAAGCTGGGGATGTCTCTCAGTTGTAGAATGCTTATTTAGCATGTGTGAGGCTCAATCCACAGTACTACCAAAAGAAAACAAAACGTGGATAGCCTAAGGGACATAGAGGATGCCACTGAGCAGACCAATATGTGTATTTTGGAAACTCTAAAGAACCAAAGGACAAGGATTATTAAAAAAAAAACCAAAAAACAGTGGCTGAAATATTCCCAGCTTGAGGAAAGCCATCAATCTCCAAACAAATGAAGTTCAATGAACTCAGAATAAACTTAAAAAGACCTACACTAAAGACCTACATTGGGGCCAGGGAGATGGCTCAGTGGAATAAGCGCTTCTCTGGCAAGTGCAAGGCCCTGAGTTCAATCCCCGGTTCCATAAATAAATAAATAAATAAATAAAGACCTACACTGAGACGTATTATAGTAGGAATCAGACATATTCAACAGTTAGCTTTCTTCTTCCCTCCCCTTTTATTCCACAGGACCTAAAACTTTGGTCACCAATAAGTTCACAGAGTTAAATCACTTTCAAAATAGACTTTATTTCTGTAGTGAAAAATTAAAATATGGCTGTGAAAGTAGAGAATAATATAGAAAATATTTAAGATGTGCAACAATAATTTTAGTTATTAGTCAAGCAGTAGAATATATGCTCAAGTTTTTCCACGACCAAACATTATTTTATATTTTAGGAGCTATACAAGAAAAAAAAAAAAAAACCAATTGCAATTTTAATTAATCATTATAACTCAACAACAGATTTATATAACTGGTCGGACCCTTTTCAAAATATAAGTACAAATGTTGGGGTTACATTTTTTGAAGCTAGCCTCACTTCCCAGACTGACAAGTCTACTATCCAAAAGTCACAGCAATGAAGCCTTGCTAGCCCATCTTTATAATTAAATCAATGTGGAAGAAATACATACTTTCTGGATGAAGCATGTTTTGGTAAGAATGAGATATTATGTTAGTATTAAAGCTACTGAACACATGTACCCTAAACCTAGCTTCTACCAGATGGATTTCAACTTTAGACATGACACAGATGAAAAAATACCCCTTTCCCAAAGTATTACTTACAATTAAGATACAGGTATTATTTGTATCCAAAACATACAAAGAATTGGAAGATGTTTGGATACAGAATTCTTCAGCAACTATTGTTTGCAGTTTGCAGAATAGGATAATCTTCTCTAGGAAGAACAATGCCAATGCAGCAGCACCACATTCACCAGGAATCCTGAGGGCTACGAGATCACGAGGCAGGAAGCCAAACCTTCTGGCTGCTCACAACGTCACTCAGCCTCCCTTTAATCTTCAGAAAGTGTCTCTTGAACTCCAATCCATCACCCTACATTAGAAATGATATATAAAAATGTTATAAAAAAAGATTATGGCATAAAATCAAACTATTTTTACTGGTAAGTAGAAACAAACATTCTTAGATATGTCCAGCTACAATACCCTCATATCCTCTTATTAAGACCAAATATTCTTACAGAGGGAATAGGAACATAAATAATTCTGACTTGATTATGTATTCTTTACTCTTCCTACCACACTGAAATCAGAAAGCCAAAAAAATAGCATCTTGTCTATAAGGACTGATTGTATCAACTTGAGATGTTTAGAAATTTAACTAAGTAACTCAGCAATTCTGCACCCTAGGACTAGCCCTCAGCTGTCTACCCCCTAGGATGCAGAGGACTCAGTCTAGGGTAGATAACCTGTGTACAACGTAAGGGAGGAAAATAGCCTTGCTCCCCCATTTTGCTCTTGTTGCTTTTACTATTGTTCACCACCATGAACTGTTGCCGTCCAGCTATGCCACTCTGCTTTGCTGAATACAGATTGAAATGTCCATAAACTGTGAGCTTAACAGACCTTTCCTCTTTTAAATTGGGGTGTCAGGTATTTTGTCACAGCAAAGAGAAAACTAAGGCAGAATTTGGTACCAGGAGTGGGGTTGCCACTCTGATTATGCCTGACTAGGTGGTTCAAAAGCCTTTGGGAATAGACTATGGGAAGTGTATAAAAAGGTTCAGAAGGGCCGGCCAAAGAGCTCAGCAGATTAAAGTGCCTGTTCAGGCAGAGAGCAGTGGCCAGGGTTCAATTCCCAGCATGTGGTGCCAGCCCTGCCCCCGGTGTGCTCTGAGACTGAGATTGACACTGGGCGTGGTGGTGTGCTCCTGTAATCCCAGCTCTTGGGAGGCTGAAAACAGGAGAATCATGAATCTAATCTACATAGTGAGACCCTGTACCAAATACATTTAAAAAAAAAAGAAAAAGAAAAAGAAAATTCAGAGACGCCAGCTGAAAAAGTTGAGCTGGAATGCCCTAGGGCTATTCCAT